AATTGACAAATGAACTTCATGTATAATATCATATAACTGAACATTATGCACATAATATTTTATTGCATTACCTTTAAATACATTTAAAATTTAATTAATTAAAAAAAAATTCTAATACTCTTATATAAATAATCATATAAACGAGTATAATAATTATTAGTATATAATATCATTGATTAGGTAAAATAATATTATGCAGATTATTTGTATAAGTATTTCACAATTTACATTGCCCAATATACCTCGGACATTGTATACAATGCCCGGACACTGTGTACAATGCCCGGGCATTGTATACATTGCCCGAATTTTCCACTTTGCCCGTAACATATACATCTAAGACCTCATCATAACTATGTAAATTAATGTGTGGTCGTACGTTTTTCGCCAAATGTTAAACGTTTTTGCAGGCGGTCATTTAGATATATTTAAGTATTAAAACAAAGCAGGCTGGTCATTATAAAAATAACATAATATATATTTTTGCAAACAAACGATAACATTTAGAGAACACTTCCTGTAAGCAAAAGCAGCTGAGGTAACACGCATTATTATACATTACAATAGAGTGGCTTACGGCTCCGCCACGCAGCGATCCGGATATTAATATTGTACTTTGAAGTGTTTTAATTAACCCTAGACCAGAGGTTCTCAAACTATGGTGCGCGTACCACTAGTGGTACGCGAAAGGCCACAAAGTGATGGAACGGAGAGTAAATAAATGAATATCTTAAACCGTGTTTGAACGCGATCACGTGGAAATAGACATAAAGCGGTACGCGACAGATTAATAATACACAATATGAGTGGTACGCGAAAAAAAAAGTTTGAGGACCGCTGCTCTAGACAATCATTTCCATCAGTCGTATAAAAAACACGAGTCGTAACTAACTGAGGATAACGGTATGCATGAGATCATGAAAATTCTCCATTAAAAGTCGGGTGCGTACCCGACCCACTTTTCCTGGACCAGAGGTCAAACGATTTGACCCACTATTATGGTTGATTTCGTAAATGCCGAATAGCTATAGATGGTAGTTCGCGTTTGAGTGACACTTTAATTATAATATGTTATGCGCAAAGCATATACTACTCGATACGTTTGATAGAGGTCGGAGCCACCGCCAATATATTAATATTGCAAAAATATAAATCATCCTTCAATTACGTATAATCGTGGTGCCATAATATCACTATACGTGAAAACGACCTTCATTTTGTTGTTTTGCGGTGTCGTATGTAACCAAGTCGGTATGATTTTTACCGGTTTTAGGAATCCGCGCGGTAAAAATTGAATATTTTAGTATGTAAAATGTCATCGTTTCCGTCGTCAACACATTATCATTATTATTATTATTATTATTATTATTATTATTATTATTATTGCCATCTTTAAGCGCCCACAACGGAGAGTATAAAATACATTTATGTTAAAAATGTTTACGGTCCACACCGAACGAATAAAGAGTATTGCAGAAGATAATATAATGACTATTAGTACTCACTCTATACGTTTAGTCCGACCTCGACGATGACGACTATGCCACAATATTTTATTGAAAAAATACGATGTAAGGTGATTATAAAAATATGCCACTTGTGCCACTTGTGCAAGTTGCCTCCGTCTTTCAAACGTCAACTTAAGAAAGTAGTTGCTCGGTTTTTTGGAATATTTTAATTTCCGAAAGAGCCGTATAACATCATATTATTATAAAAATCGTAATAGTTGACATACTTTTGACATAATTCACTTAAAAATGATAATATCGTTAAAACTTACTTGCGTATACAAACACAGATACAATTCTGCCTTTAAAGTGTGATGATATATTATATTGCGACGTCCTCTTTAAAAATTGCGAACAAATTGGTTTTAAATAAATACAATGATGCATTTTATCAAAAAAAAAAAAAAATGTAATACATTATAATATTATGTGTGACAACATTATGCGAATGGACATGCAACACTGCAGTGATGATAAAATGTAGATAATTCATTTTGTATGGAATACGTATCGATGAAATGAGTCGAAGCATTTTCACTGCTCAAAAATATTTTGATCCAAACCGTTGACGTTTCATAAAATGTTTATCGTCTAAAAATTTAAAGGTACCTACTGCTAGTAGTATAAAATACTACTCAAGACCGTTACCCATTTCAGTGTTTTAGTGCGAATAATTTGACTTGTTTTTTGTTTTAGTTTTTCTTTAAACAGCAAGACTATTTCAAAAGTTAAAACCTAATCTCGATAATAATAATATAATTTTTAATAATAGTTACTGTAATTAAAGAAACGCAATATTACACAGACAGCGAAGGTCGACTGTACTGTGAGCACTTAATATAATGGTTTTTCATTTTAATGTGACTCGTGTCAAACATCATATAGTTTTCCGTATTATTAAGTTCGTTTGCATACGTGAGCAGAACGAATGTCGAGTACAACATAAAAATAAGTTCCGCTAAAAGTTGAAACCGTACACGACTTGCGTACATTATAATAAAGTTTCGACTTATAACATAATTCCGATATTATACTGTACACAGGAACCCGTCACTTGTGCAACTGATCGGATGGCGAAGGGAGTACTGAAGCTGAATAATATAATACAGGGCGATTCACCGAGCACACTCGTTCAGTGGTGAAATTTCAAATATTTTTTTTTTTGAGGGGGGGGGGGGGGCCCGAAAAATAATGTGTACTTCAGAGGGATTATATTCAGAAGAAAAAATTGTTCATCGTATTCACACAGTGTATGTATTACATATTACAAAACGATATCGACACATCTTTTGTGCTTGCAAATGTCTGTGTTCAATGAAAAATGCAATGAAATTAAACTTTTACAGGATAATCGATCACTGGAAATTCAGAAATCAAAGATTATCAATAATCAAACATCAATCATCGTCAGAAATTGTTTGACTAATTCAACGCGCGTGGGGTGTTCGGCCCGCAAGTACATTTCCGTTTGAGCACACGAGAACAGGCAGATAGAATATATTTTAAAAATGTATGAAAATATTAAAAATCGCACGTTATTTCAGTATAATATTTAAATTGTGCAACATTGCATCGGGACCCCATACACGGGTGCCACTCGTTGTGCAGTACACGACATCTCTGGGATATGAAAATATGTCCTTTGAGTATATTTAAAAATTCCGAAAACCAGTTTTGAACACATAACTCCATTATTGAAGACGAACAATTCCGTGAGAACGGGGTGAATCACATTGTATATACGTTAGGTGCCTATACAACAATGCGATAATGGCGTGGCATTTAATATGACGTGACGGTTATGAATTAAGGATAAATCAGTGAAGCATAACACGTAGCTCGGCCTGTGAAGGAGGGGTGAGATTAAATTTTTCCTACTACAACACTCAATACTGAGGGCCCTGCAGTCTCCACGCAGTTGATCGACTTCTTGTTGTTTTCATTTCAGTATATTATTCTACTTAATGCTTTTTTGACGATTTTTATTGATCTTTACAACAAACCCATTTGAATCATCAACGTCGAATTTCCGATGTACATCCAGTATCTATTTCAAATACGCCATCTAAATAAGTTTGTGGTAGCGGTTTCTTAGGAGTATTATTGGGTCGTCGAGGCCGCCACATTGGTTGTTTTTAATCATTTTCAGTTTTAAATTTAAACTCCCTCGCGATGCTTTTCCACGGCCCAATATAAAATTGTATAGAGGAATTATAATATTATAATTTGGTCGTTTGTTTCGAATGAATTTTCGTTTCTTTCACGAATCACCGCTATATCGCACGTCTTATATGGGATTTTATTTTTTTGGGCTAACACATTTTGTGGCAATAAAAAAGTTACAAAAGTCTTACGCGGCACTCCTCTAGATTAGAAATAGAATACAGATTGTGTATTGAAGTAGTACATTTTCGAATTTTCAACTTCTTTTTAGAAAACTAATAAAAAAAAAAAAAGTTAAGCTATAAGTAGTAACTTTAAGAACTAGACGGTAATATGATGGATAAAAAAGTTCGCTGAGACTGAAAAAATGTTTGATCAACGAAATCACACTACCCTTATTATTAGGCTCGGGGAAAAAGTTGCAATACGTCGGCTACACGGCAAAACCTCGTAAGTCAAAATTAAAAAAAAAAATTTTTTTTCTTTTATTGGATGCACTGTACTTTTGTGCACATTTTGATATCATAATATCTATATTTTTCCCGGTACTTTCATAAGATAATACACACAAACAAAAACTCGTAACTATAGTATCAATAATAAAACCTCGTAAGTCAATTGTAGATTTTATAATGAATCATGAATAGCATACTGCCATACTCCACATACGCTATACATTTACATACGTTTTTGAGACTTTGAGTTATGACATGCATTCTATTGTTTTAAACGTTTGAAATAATTAAAAACATTATTGTATTAAAAATGTTGCCAGATAGTGAAATACAATCACTTTTAAACAGCTTAAGTGATCCAGAAGATTTAGATACTAGTACTGGCAATTCTGTGATTGATTTTGTTAGAGATGATGTGGTTAATATTGATACATTTTCTGTAGTTGAAGGTAAAATATGTTATAAATTTAAAATAGGTGTTTTTTTATTTGATTACATTATATTTTACTTTTTTACTCATAATATTCTATATAATTATTATCATAATTCATAACTTTTAACTTATTAGAGCTGGAGACTGATAATATTGAACACAATGAGGACTGTAATACTCAAATTAATATACTTAATATAGAANTTATTGTATTAAAAATGTTGCCAGATAGTGAAATACAATCACTTTTAAACAGCTTAAGTGATCCAGAAGATTTAGATACTAGTACTGGCAATTCTGTGATTGATTTTGTTAGAGATGATGTGGTTAATATTGATACATTTTCTGTAGTTGAAGGTAAAATATGTTATAAATTTAAAATAGGTGTTTTATTTTATTAAATTACATTATATTTTACTCATATTTCATACAATTATTATCATAACTTATTAGAGTTGGAGACTGATAATATTGAATATAATGAGGACTGTAATACTCAAATTAATATGACACTTAATATGGAACCAGGAGTTACTAATTCTTATGTAGAAAAGTATTGTGATATGGTTGAATTAAATAATTTACCTACTGTTCAAAGTAAATGATAGTTTTAAATTAATGTATACAATTAAATATAATATTTATTACTATTCATAATTAAATAATGATTTAAATTATAGAAATGGAAAAAGATGATAGTGGTTTAACAGAACTTGTAGTAAAAGCAAAACGGAAACTTAAGTACGAAGAAGGGGATGAGCATGAATGGTTAAAAAATAAAAACAAAATACTTAGAATGCAAGGTCAAGCCTATAAAGGTCTAAGGAAAAATGAAATGGGGAAATTTTCATTTACAGAAAGTAGATCTTCAAGACAGTTAGGAAAAATATGTGAACTGTATTAACTCAAGTCTCAACATCGTTTTTATTATAATTATTATTTTATATATATTTTAGTTACAAGAAGTTAACTATTAAATTTGTTTAAGAAAGTTTTTATGAGTTCAATAAGAAAATATTTTTATTTATGTTAATTATTTTTCTCAATTATAATAAAAGATTTTTAATGTTTTAAAATAATACTATCAGTAGTTTTTTTATAATTTTATAACGTTTTGTACTTTTTATATTATATTGTAATGTTGAATGATATGTCTATGATTTTGTACAAACTACAAATAAAAGAATTTTGAAATTTCACAAAAAACTCGTAAGTCTCAAAAACACTCAAGTACACTCAAAGTACTCAAAAACAAAACCTCGTAAGTAAATTGAATTAATTACAAGAACTCGTAAGTCAAATTTATTAAAAATCAAAAACTCGTAAGTCTAATTTTTTACACAATTATATCAAAATATTGATTTTTTGATCTTTCGACAATGTGAAATGATTAAAAATGGTGATTGAAGTTATAACTTTTAATAATTTACAAATATTAATAGGTGTCACAGTTTTTTGCTATTCCTCAACAATTTGATAAAAGTGACTTACGAGGTTTTGCCGTGTAGTTCGTGAAAAATCTGCATCCCCTCAATGATTATTTTGCTTCTCGTGAGGTTCGCAATGCCTTTTTGCAATCCTAGAGCACTTATATTTTTCGCACCTAATCAGCACGAGCTGAAGTTATATATTACAGTATTACGTCTATATTATGTCTAGGATGAGATTGTTTAAGCTTCATATAAACATTTGTAAGCCTCTGCCAGCATGGAAAACAAAATATGTTACACATTATATATAGTAAAACCTCTTTATAGCGGAAACGACTTTGAGACGGAAAAAAAATTGTTACCGAACGATAAGGGAGTTTAATTGTATGTTGATATTTGTGACACTGACGTTGATCTATCAGTGCGATTGTCCCTATTCCTCTGCACCTACATAGCATAGCTCAGCGTGAAATAATTATACGTAGCATTTATAAAAAATACCACTTACGAGCTGTATTGTACTCGAAAGTAAAAAAAAAATTCTCGTCTATCGGGAATACGTGATTTTTGTAAGTTTTCTGTATTTTTATCGACATAAAATATGCTACACGACTTGTATTAGTGTATAATCAATAACGACGAGTCAACCTATTACCTAGTTATAGTATTCCTACCAAAAAAAAAAAAAAAATAATAATATGCAATTATGAAGCTATTACACCACCTTCGTGTAGTGCGGTTTTGACGCGTTACCGCAAATGCCAAACAGTTGAAAATATTCTCGACTATTCCACAGTGGCAGTTGGATGGTTGTTGAAACGTGGTTATTATAATTATTAGTGACAAGTGAACACGTTCGAACTCAACAATATTTGTTGACTTGGCGAATTCGTATGGAAAATTCCAAGCACGGACCACACGCGGTTACACGGAGACTGTGCATAAACGCGTGTCGGCATATTATTATCTTATTTGTTCTATGCGGTGGTTTACCTAAAGGCAACTCAATGTTATACCGTGTTTGCTCGTGGACGTCAACTGTAAAACACGGTATGACGGTTAACCTGTGCAAATTATAAGTACTTAATAACTAGCTATATGTGGCTAATGAAAAATGATTTTATTGTTCATTTAAATCGTTCGTTTGTGACCTGACCTTGCATAGCTGGTGTATCTTATGATTACAGAATACAATTCGATTACCATAATATCATGAAACGCATACTGTAACTGTGTTGGTATAATTTATAAATAATTAATAAATATATAATTTCGACGACAATGTTTTAATAATAATTCAAAACGCAAATGCGGATTTATCAAACAATCGGTAGAGTATATAGTAATAACTAATATAATTGCCAAAGTATAAACGAATGAATCCAAACCGTGTCATTAAATAAGCATTTTGATATTTCCACAGGCACACAGCAGAACGGGATGAAATCCAAAAGTAATGCATTTCTATACACATCATGATGAATAACAATTTACCCAACGGCTATAATTTTCTCGTAACTTCTATTTGATTAAATAGTCCGTATAATCGAATTATGGTATTATTTTTTTCAACAGTTATTTTTCGATTAAACAGTGCAGACAAAATCGATCGATTGACAATGTATTACTAGACGCACTTGTCAGCTAAACAATGGCGCTAATATGCACGTGATCAACACCGTCATAATTATACAACGATAGATTTAATTTAATAAATAAAAAATAATATAAAGTTTCTTGTTGTAATCTCGGAATGGCAACAACCGTGGTAGCCACCTGACCGCTTTCCCCCCCAGACACCCTCGCTTCTACGCAGAGCTGTATGAGTGTTATGATCAATATATTATATTATATTACATTGGATCCAAATTCTGATGATATAAGTTTTTTTAAACAACAGTGTCTCGATGAATAAATCGAACCGGGTGAAAGCGATCGAACGAGCTCACGTCAACTTGTGTAAGTTTACAAATGCATCTTGCATCGATCAGTACAGAAAGATATTAAAATGTAATTCCTGTTATTAATCATAATAATAATAATGATAGTAATAATCACAATAAACAAAACGGATTCGCTTTGCTGCGAGCTTTTCATCTCCTAAAATCTCTGCCGAGCATTATCGTTCTTCCGGAAGAAAAACACGCGAAATAATTACCAGCCGACGACCCCCTCCCCCCTCCCAACGGTTCTGTAACAGGACAGCGTTCTAAAGCAATCTTCACACACACACACACACACACACACACACACACATGCACACACATGCACATACGCACTCCAAGTCTGTACTGACAGTCGCATGCGTATACGGACAAATATCGTCTGCAAACGGCTTTACAATGGGTGACAATGGGCGAGTTGTATACAGACACCACCTCTGAACGATTATTATTATGTCCGTCGGTATTGAAAAACATGGTTCGAGTAAGTTCCAGTGGGCTCTCTTTGGACCCACCGACTAAGACTATTCTTGGCACACAACTCCATTTCATAATGTATACAGGATGATTTTTAAAGCGCCGCCTACGCCATTTTTATTTTTAATATTACATTTATTAAGATTCAATTTTTTTTAAATTATTAAGTAGACCTGGCGATCGCATTTTGAAATTTCCGATTTTTTTTTTGTACTACTTAAGAAGTATCCTGTGGTCATATAAACTTTTATTTTTAAACTGAGAACCCTCTTTTTTTACTGAAAACTATTTAAGATATTTTTGAAAATATTGATTTATCTGAATCAAAATTCTAATGAGTAGTTCTGATCTATTAAATGTTTATGCCAAGAATGATAATCCTCAAAAATGATTGTATAAAAATAAAAACTATTTGTGATGTTAACTATTTGTGAGTTAGCATACATAATGCTTGGATCATTTTTACAAATTATTTACATTGACAAATCAATAGTAATTGCTAACTTTTTCAAATCGTATAAGCTCTCTATTCACTTTACTCACTACTTTTACATCAAAATTATCAAAAACAAAAATCTGAAAAATGAAAAGAGAGATTCGTATTCGACAAACTAGAGAAAAAAGAAAATTTAATTAAAATTAAAAAAATATAAATAAAATATAAGTGTATACCTCTCAGTGTTAGAAAATATTATGGTTACAAACCGTTCGTAAAGTTGTATTGGTATGGAACATATTAAAAGGAAATATTAAAAATTCTTCATCCTCAGACATGGCCCAAGTCTAAGTTTGAGATAAACAATTATTAACTACTTTGAATAGGTGCCTATAAGTACTCGTGGGTCGTCCAAATTTCGAATGTCAGAGCTAAAATCCAATTTAACGACTGCAGTGTATTGAATGCAACGTACCTATCAGTAATAATATAAATCATATCTAATATATTAAATATTAATTTTGAGCCATTATGCACATTGTACTACTTAAATTTCGAACAAGATAATACAAGTGCACTTACCTGTGAGATGACGTAAGTGGAAAACGCATACATAGTACATATTGTTATTGTTATTAATTTATTATCAAAAACCGCCCTGTAAGTGTGTATCATACAAGTATATGGGTACTCGGAAAAAAATAAAACGGAAAATAATTAATTTTTAAAAAATAAACCTCAACACACTTGAGATACGATTTATCGTTATTGTTATTATTTATTTCGAATAAAATATATTAAAATGTACCGTAACGCGTACACGTGGTCCCCGCATAATAAGCATTTCTGTTGTTCGATTATTTTGCGACGCATCCGATAGACGGCGTAAAGACGTCATTTTTTACTGGACGTAAATTTTTTATCCAATCGTTTCCAACCTTCGGTCGGTTCGACGCGGTTTCCTCCTTTAAATACGATTCGTCTGAACACGCGATGCTGCAGTCGCGTCTCGGGACGGAGGCGGTGACAAAAATACGTCCGCATCCGTCACGGAGGGTCTCCCCCCCCCCCCCCTTCGCCGACCCTCTCCCCGTGCGCTGCAGCAGACTGATTGACGCGCACCTCCGCCATCGCTGGAATATCCAGTCGTCTCGTCAGCTGTGCACGGTAAACAATGTACTGCAGCGTACGCGCTTCGCCGCACACGCGAAGGCAAATTGACTGTGCACACGCGGCCCACATACCTACCTGTCTGTCTATTATTGTCGCGGGACTTCGGATCGTCGCGAAAAGAGAATAATATATATATCGGAAGAAAAAATACGGAACGGGGTGTAGTGTGCGCGCGGGCGACACGCGTACACATTTGCGTTTTGCATTTTAGGCGGCCGTGTGCGTATACGCAAACAGGAAATCGATGACTCGAGACCGTGTCATCATTATATTATACCTACCCTCGTACATCAGTCAGCGGTGCACACTCAATTCCTTTTCCCGCTGCAGGGGCGTCGAGCGAGCGCATTAATAAAAGACATGCCCGTCATACTGTATGCGCGTATACTATATATATATATATATATATATATATATATACGAACGACATGCTCACTGGAAAAAAAGGC